TGAGGTTGTCTTTTTTTTTTTTTTTTTTTTCCTCTGGTTACATAGAGGAAAAAGCTCTGTAACCCAGAGAGAAGGCTGTACAGGCATAGAAGATACTGAGGGTTGCTTGAGGATCCTTCCTTAAACTGACACATTGTTTTTCCAACTAAGTGCTTTTGTTGTTGGCACTCTGGTATTTAATACTTGACCATGGCAGGAAACTGAGACAATTGCACCTCCTTGAAGTGTTTGATTAAAGCTTAATCTGTACAAACGATGCTGGATCCCTTGCCTTAGTTTCCTGCCATGATCTCTTCTGCACGTGTCATAACTTGAAGGACTCTTGAGTTTTAGTTCTCAAATCCTGCCTCAGCCTCTCCTCTTCAACAATTCCTCAGACAGCACAGCTTTTTTTTTGTTCCCAGCAGCTGTTGGCTTTGCCTGACATTCTGGCAGTCCAGTCTGCATTCATGAATGTTCTGGCCTTCTTTACGAGGGGTGGTGATGACCACTGCAGCCACTGTTTGAACTAAGTCCCAAAATGTGATGGGATTATAACACTATAGGTGTCAAACTTTGAAAGCTATATTGAGGCAAAGGTCTAGGCATAAGGACTAGTCTGAATTTTGCCATTAGTCCTAGATTTAGACCAGTCTGGCTTTAATTTGATCCCGTATTTACCTTCATTAGGGAAAGCCGTGCTAGTATGGTGCAATTATCAACAAAATACTTCTCTTGATTGGTCTTCAAAGGAATTTGAGTTAGGAAATTGGAAGACTCAGAGCTGCTTCTTGGTAGGAACCATTCTGCCCTTTGACCAATGCAGCAAGTGAAGGTTTTTCTTCCCTGAAGTTGTCAGCTTGTCTTGGGATGTACGCGCTGCAATTTTTCTGTCTGTTTGCTATTCTAGAAGCACAGCAGCCCATGTGCAGTAATGCAGAGCAGTCCTAGCACTGAGCTTGCACTCTTGATGGCAGTCTCCTTCTGAAAATGTAATTGCATCTGGCTGTCCTCTAAGTGATGAGTGAGGTGGCTGGGGTTAGAGGCTGCTGATTCATATGAGAGCAGTCCCTTTGGACTGACTCATGAAGAGCCATTTAAGTGCACAACATCCCAGACTACTTGCGTCTCCAGCTGTGCAGGTTGGAAACCACTAGAATTAATTAGCCTAGAGCTCTGAATAGCTTTCATCTTCTGGCCCTTTGTAAATCTGAGTCATAATTAGTATCAAAGACTAGGTTTGGGCCTAAGATTTCTTTCTTTAGCACATGGAGTGGGGTGTTTCATTCCCTAAGCTTAGCACAGGGTTTCAGCTTGCATCCAGGAGGGTTCATATCACCACCCCCCAATCCATTAAGATTTGACCCTTGTTCTTGTCCCATACAGTACAGATCACTGTATTCAGAATATGCAGTTGCTGTTGGCAAAAGAGCTGGTGCAGTAACTTCAAGAGACCCTTCCCTGTGAAGTGGGCTGAGCCCTTTATTGAAGGAAAACCTGTAAGCGATAGTAGAACGTAGATGTGCAGTAATATTTGGGTTCTAGCTTGCTTCATTGTCTATGCAATTGGTGTGGGAATAAATGAAGGGTAACTCATCAAGAGCACAGGGCCTTTCATCAACAGTCTGTTTTCCAGACCAATCTGGTGAAATATTTTTCTTTTCTTTTTTTTTTTTTTTTAAATTAAGAATGGGACTTTTGCAAACAGTGCTGTGGCCATTGGCAAACTGTGAATTGGGATTTTCTTTTGGGGGGAGGGGGAGGGGTGGAAACCAGATCAGACCAGTAGCTACTGTAACACTGGCTAGAAAAAGATTCACTGAAGTGTGAATGGCGCTTTGGAAACTGTCTCCTGGATCCTTCACAGAAAAGAAGCTGGAGACTTAGGTTTTCTGTCCTTTTTTGTCTTTTTTTTTTTTTTTTTAAAGAAGCAACCAGTTACAAACCCCATAAATGGTACTTATGTACTTACATTTTGTTACATAAGTGCATGTCAAAACATTAAACCACAGATGGCCACACCTTTGAGTGGAGCTGGTAAGACATTCTTTTTTTATTCTTTTTTTTAGTTTAGTAACCAGCTCATGTATGGGTTGCATTATAGAGCTGCTAGCACGTGTGGCAAAAGCAAGGGCAGTGGTAAGTTGTGGTTCCAGTACAGCATTCAGAAGCCTGAATGCAGGACTTATAGCCACTGCGGTATCTTAAAAGGCGCTTTTTTTTTTTCCCCAAGTAAGGATTTTTTTATTTTATTTTTTTAAATGAAGCCAAATAATATGGCTCTCTTCAGTGAGTCCCCCCCTTTAGAGCTATGGCGTAGCTGTACCATGGTGGATTGAGAGGATGCCCACCCAAGTCTAGAAAAGACTAGCTGGCTTGATATGGAGTTGAAAGTGTGTTTCTCTTAGGTTTCCAACACTGTAACAGATGCAACATAAATAAAGAACCTGTTCCACAATCCTGGATACTCAGCGACTCTGGATTCTTTTATGAAACTTTGGGCATCGCACGGGTGCCAACCAGGGGCCGGGCTAATGCCCTTTGGTGTACACGGGGATCTTACCTGGGAATGGACTGGCAGAGGTGTATATGATTAATGCCTAAACGGAAGGGGTGAAACAGGCCCCGGCCTCTCTGCTTTCTTTAAACCCAACCAGTGGCTGTATGTGCCTGTCCTTCATGCCAATAAACCACAGCGTCCAGTGGGCTGCACCTGCCACCAGCCCCACGGGGAAGGAACAAGTATGATAACACCACTGTCCTCAGAACCTCCAGCTTCTCTCCTTTCCTTCCCCCAGCCCAGCCCAGCTTCAACCCTACCCCTGCCTCACTGCAGTTATGCAGAGGGAATGCTGCATGCATTTTATTTAATTTACTGGATTTTATGGGAGCAGCTCCATAGCTTTCTTGTGGGGGCCCTGGGGCAGCTCGTGCTGCTGGCTGTGTTCATATGAGAGCAGGATCCTGTAGAAGCTAGCTCCTGCCTGGGTCCACGTTAAGCACTGCTGTTACGGCAGGTGGGCTCTGCGGAGCAGCACGGTCGTTTTCGGTACTGTGCGGTGACTGCACCCGGGCCTGGGCTCCAGGCCTTGTGTGATGTATGTAATGTGTGCCAGGCTGGTGTTGCGCAGGCCTAGAGCTTGTTCAGCAGGCTTTACCTGACTCCAGCTGCTGCCTCTGGTTCCCTGCTACGGGCCACGTCCTGTCCTGCTCAGTTGAGAGTGAGGGAGCTGCCCTTGCCCCAAGAGCTGCAGTGGCTGCCCCGGGGCCTGCTGGGAGTTGTTATGCTGCCTTGTTTCCGGGGCACGGGAAGAGCTGTAGTGCGACCCTGCCGCGGGGAACGCCGGGAGCTGTAGTGCGACCCTGCCGCGGAGCACGCCGGGAGTTGTAGTGCGGCATTGCCGCGGTGCCTGCCGGGAGCTGTAGTCGCGCCCTCCTCCCGCCTCGACTGCCGCCTCCAACCGGCGTTTCCCGGCAGGCGCCGCGCCGCCTCGCGCGCGGATTGGCTGGCGGCGGGGCCGGCGCATGCGCGTTCTGCAAACGCTCCGCGACCCGGGCCGGAGCCGCTTTCCTCTCAGCTGCGAGCCGCGACGAGAAAGCGGGGCCGCCGGGCGACTGGCAGGGGACGAGCTGTGGCGGCCTAAGAAGGGAGCGGGGCTCCTTGCTCGCTGGTTGGCCGAGCCCGGAGAGCCACGTCACACCTCGGACCGGTGACGTCACGGGGTGCGTGCGTGATGTCACCGCGGCGCGGGGCTCGCAGCCCTGCGCGGGGCCTGGGGGCGGAGTCTGCGGGGGAGAAGAAGCGGGGTACAGCTGTTGGGGGAGGGGCCTGGTGGCACCCCACGGCCCTGTTACTATGGTGGTGACCCCCCAGGGGCCCTGCCACGTGGGCACTCGGCCACGCTGGGGCCGGGGTTTCCCTGCGGCTGATCTGGAGCCCTCAGCAGGGTGGCGACGGCCGCCCCAGTCCCAGGCGCGAAGGCAGCAGGTGCTCCTCTCTTCGC